CTACTGCTACTACTACTCCTCCTCTTACTGCGGCAACAGCTATAACAACAGCTCCGACCACTATGGCTACTCCTACTGGCACTACCTCCGCCACTACTGCCATTACCACCTTGCCGCAACTCTTCCTACTACCACTACAGCTTGTACTGCTGCAGTAGCAACTCTTCTTCCGAACCAGGTGCAAACCCTCACAAGAGGGACAAGCACCTGGGAATGAGAGCGCATGGCCACGCAATGAGGCCGCGGGTCTTTGGACAGTTACATAGCTTAAAGATCTTGAAAGTGAAGGTAATATTGTTGCACCACAACATACCAGACGCCGTACTGTAATTGCTACCGCGTGGCCTCGTCATTTGAGAATGTGTCTTGCTCCGATCAGCAATCTAGCTGAACTTGAATAAGATGGATGCGCCTGTTGGCCCCCTCCTGAGTCCATCGTCCACTGCCCCAGGAAGGGAATGCTGCGTTGCGCGCTGGCCATGAGTCAGCCTGCCATGCGCCCAGCAAAGCCAACTTGCCGATTTGTGGTATTTCCATGGAACTCAGGTGATGGAGGTTTTCTGACTTCCCCGCATCTATGGAGTCGTCGCCGAGTGTGGGCTTCTGGCGTCGGTGACTGGCCTGAGGCCATTGTGAAGGAGGCGTGAAGGCCAGTTTAGTGGTGGGAGTCTTAGGTACCTTCGGAATTTGCACTTTTGGCCCTGGCAGACCTCCGGGCATGGTCTCAGCTCTGCCAGGGTACTGTGCCAATGCATGTAGAAGGCAGCACCATTGCCTCCTGTTTCCGTTCTTCTGAGAGTGCAGATGTAGAGACAGCTTTTGCCAACTTCAGACCCTCAGAAAATGGCTGAAGCCCTTAATACCATGCAGGCTTGCGGTAACCGCATGTGGCATTTGAGGCTTCGGAGAAGCCTGATACTCTTTCAGTTTCAGTCCATTGATCAAGTTGCACATCTGCAAACGCTGCAAAGAGCTGTTACAGATTGTGCAGAACAACGGGCTATGCACAAATCGTGCAGTACAGGCTCGCGCAAGATTGGCGCGCTCGGGAAGGGCCTGTGGGAATCCAGCCTTCCCAAGAAGCTTGCCCACTTTCGTGTAAAGTAAGAAAAGGTCTGATCCACTTGGGACCTTTTTTGGTCAGGGCTGACTCCAAGGGCATTGACCCAGGGCCTTTGTACTGCGCGGCCCGGTTCAGGATCCCAGTGGTTCTATGTCGGATCCATGTCAGCCTTGAATTTCCTGTGTATTCCACAGTATTGTTTCCTGTACAGTACCGCCACCAACGCGGTGAGAGATCAATGAGCAGAAGTGCAGGCTTCACAAAGCATATGCATCTCTGCTTTCTTGCAGCAAGCCCTGCGGGGTTACCATTTTGGGAGTCCCTATCATAAGGGCTATAGCGTTGGGTGTCTATTCGGGTCCCCTGTTTATGGAAACTACAAGATGTTGTTTGTCAGGTATGGGCAGATCCTCATGGATGACTATGCCAATAGCCGCTTCGGCAGTTATTCTCCAGAAGCGCTTTGCAGCATTCATTGGATCCATTTGAGCTAGAGTCTAAACTCCTTGAAGGGGGGTTGTTAACGGGGATACTAAGGGTTTAGACTATGGCTCATTTGGCGCATTTTGGCGCTGCCTGAAAAGGGGTCACAAACGCCCCGCTACACACTACTACATCAAAGCCCTGAGAAAAAATCATAAGCTACCTAAGAAGCAGCAACCAAAAGGGAGACCTTGTAGGACGAAGTGCGTGCCCAAGTAACCATTGTTTGCGGAAACAAGAAATCCAGCTGCTTCCTTCCAAAATATGTTGGTTTCGACTTGCATTGTCTTGGATGGCATCACGGAAGCCGACTGGTGAAAGCCATGGCCGGAATAAACATTCCGGAGAGGATTCAGGTCTTTACTAAAGATGCAGCCGTGCAGTAAAGCAGTAGCGGGCGCAAGTCAGGCCCGACAAAACCGAGAGATCAAACAAAGACTCCTCTTCCTGTTTTGTTTCAAAAGGCAAGAACCATTTTAAGATCCCTCTTAGTACGCCTCCAGTGTTTTCAACATGGACCTGATAGTGCAATCCTCAGGAGGTTTCGAGGGTTCGAGGTTTTCGCCGTTTTCGGTACATCCATTGTCGGGTCTGATCTCAGTTTCTCCCACCACAAGGATCCCCAATTTGGAGACAAGCCCAAGCCAGATGCAGTTGATAATGATTCGGATCAATAACATTGAGTTTGCAGAGGTTTTCTCTAACAATGCGCAACGGATGTTGCCGATGTTGCCCCAGCGCATAACTGCAGTTGGCGTATTCTTCCATAAGAGAGGGGAACCCTGCAGGGACCTCTATATCACGGAATTCTGCCCCACGCTCTGTTCTCGTGGTCCGAAAGCTGCAATCCTTGTAATATGGCCCCCAAGAAGGAGCCCCCATGAACGTTTTTGGAAACACTGAAGTTTCAGATGCCAGGTTACTTCATGCTGGCTGCATTGGATGCAGGGAGCCCTAGCTCGAAGTGTCTCAATCTGTGCAGTCGGGGATCTTGTAGGGATTTAATCTTTGAGGCTTAGGAGTTCAGGGTTTTGGAATTTGGAAGGTACTTGAGCATCATGGAGTTTGCCGAGGCACTGGAGTGAGTATGACGAAACATCGTAGAGTTGCAGAGATGGGCTGTTTCTTGGAGCGTTTTTTGGTGCCAAAGATCTGGGTCCTATTCCCCTGAACTCTAAACCCTAAACCCCAATCGTCTCGGGATGGTAGGAATTCCCGGCATGACGTTGGGCTTCCCAACAATTAGGGGATACCTTTTTGAGGGGGTCCCCACGCTGAGGATTATAACATATTGGGGTCTATAGTGGGGTCCCGTTACGAATGGAAACTACCCTAAAGAGGATTCTTTGGCGGTAGGGTGAGAGTTTTGCACATATTATTTCTCCATATTGAGCACTGTCAACGAGCATTCATTTATCCACCCAACTAGCTTTGACATGACTCCAGTCGACATCATGATGCTAGTTTCTCGAGAGGAGAGTTGGGATACTGAATGCACTGCTTCTCCACTGCATTGAATGATGGGAGTGTTCGTTTCAGCACAGACAATGCAAACGCGGCTTGCACCCCCTTGAAGAATTCATCTAGCCGGCGTAGAATGCAGCAACCCTGAAACAGGAAATTATTTCGCACACCCCTGTAGTCTCTGAGCATATAATATAGGGTGGCTGCAAACTACGGCAAACATGAAGTCGCGAAAGCCTCTTCATCATGGGACTGAAGAAATCCACCGTACTGCAATCAGCCTCATGCGGTCAGAAGCTTTGGGAGTGGCGGCTTGACATACTCGAACCGCAGTTCTCTGTCTGTAGATGCTCCTGCTGTGTAAGGTGGACTGGGGAGGCGTGGGGGTGATATGCGGGAGTCGTGTTTTTTCAGGTTTCAGGCTCAGAAACCTTGAAATCCCGCATGTCCTGGCCTTTTGGGTCCTTAGAAGGTGCTTGGGAGGCCTGGGGATGGCCTGCGGGAGATTTTTTTGATTTTCAGGCTCCGAAACCTTGAAATCACGACTCCGCCATGTCCCTGCCCTCGCGGAGAAACTTCCGCTTCTGAAGTCCGTGGTGTCACGTGGCATGCAGCTTCGTTATCGCTGTTCTTTAGAAGCTCAGACGTGGTTCCTGTGACTGCGCTCCCAAGTCTATATATATGTATATATATAATATTCATACATGTGTACAGGTTGAGAGAAAGCACCCAGATTGTAGGCATCATAAGGCCTAATGGAAAAACATTCATGCTGGGCCTTTTGGGAAATTGGGAGGCGCTTGAGAAGAGAATTTCATAGCATGCTCAAACCGCTGGCATCTTGGGCTGTCTACAGAACCTACATACCTTCGAAATGAGATACTCCTGATCAGAGGAACACCCGCTAGGTGGAGAAGCCACTGCTTGTGGAGTGGTACAAGATGCTGTGCGGTCACTTTGGTAGAGCACAACGCATGAGGCCGAGATGCGCGGCGACAGGAAAGAGATGGAGAAGTTGGCGAGACAGGCGAAGCACGGGGTTCTTGAGATTGTGGGTCCCGTCATTGGCTGGTTCTAGGACTGAAGGAGAGTTTGCAGTGACTTCGGTCAGGCTTTGAGCATGACAAACAACCAGGCACAAGCTGAGCATCCAAATCCATTCCAGTTCTTGGAGGTTTTCCTACTGTCGCTGCGACTTTCATCAAGAAACCACCGCTATGTGATATTTGTGTTCCAATCCTCGAATTTTGGGAAACTCTGCACCCTAAATAATAGCTTCCACTTTCCTCTCCCTTATCCCCATATAAGCCCTATATACCCTTATAAAACGCCTCCTATTCGCGTTATTCTTGCCATGATTTTCGGCTTAAACCCTAAACCTTAAACCCTAAACCCTTATCCTAAGCCCGAAGCCCTAAACCCTAAACCCTTAACCTCGAAGTTAAAATCTTCCCTAGCCGAGGCTTGCACCCAGGAAAGGAAAGTGAAGGGGTGGTAAAAACAAAAACAACCCTTAACCCTAAACCCTAAACCCTAAACAGCTGTCAGGGACAGATCATCTCGCAGATCCATCAGCTTGCTGAGCCCATGCGGCGGCCAGCGCGAGATCTGGTGCAATATCTGGGGTTTGTGTAGGGGTTATGTAGGGGTTATATAGGCCATGTAGGGGTTGTGTAGGGGTGATATAGGGGCTATACAGGGGTATATAGGGATAATGGAAAAATTGAAGCTACTATTTAGGATTTAAGCCCTGGCTGTGATTGTGGTTGTAGTTGCTGTTGTTGTGGGGTTTAGGGCTAAGAGTTCTTCAAGAAATCCTCTATGTAACACCAGTTTCCATTTCATTTTCCATGCTCTTTTCCATTTGATTCTCCATTATTGGGGTGATATCTACTTAAGGGGGATTCTAAATCCTAAACCCTAAACCCTAAATCCTAAACCCCAATAATTATGGGAGCCAAAGATGCAGGTCAAAGGGATCCTTCCTTGAGGCGGTGAGGTTCCCAGATCGCAGAATCCTGTTTGGAGGATCCCCATGTTTATAGTCCAACTCCTAGTATCCCCATTGACTAACCCTTGTAGTATTCCCCCATATAGTCCCTTAAGCCTTATGAAACCCCCCTAGAAGAATTTTAGATTATGGATCATGTGGTGTTCCGGTCCTCAATGAAGGGCAGTGCTTTCTTATGGACGTCAATAGTGTGATCTGTATATGTCACTTGTGCAGAAAGTATGGCTTGCACACTGTAGCCTATAGCCACTTCTACTGTCTTGCCAGCATCATCATTGCTCTTGATGAGGATTCTGCGAAAGAATGCAAAGACCGGACTTGCTATGACTATGTTCTTTATTGAAGATCTGATCGAAGCTTTGAAGTTTATGTTAGGCTGTGCCGAGGCAAGATTGGGCAAGGGTCAGTGCGGGCTGCTTTTTACTGCCTGATGTTGGCTTGCTGCAGGTGCCGCGATTCTTTGAGAAGTTCCGCAACGACGCCTCCAGAGCAGCGTTTCAGGCATGGAGGGTGGACAACCAGCAAGAATTACGAAAGCACAATGGACATCGGTCAGAGCTGCGCGAGAGAGGACTTTAGGTATGCATTGGAAGTCGAAAGCTCGGTAGATAAGATACTGGTAATCGTCAGCAAGGCAACAATCCTGAAGCATCTCGGTGTGAAGGGAACCCTACCACAATCTGAAACCCTGCCTTAAACCCCTGCCGAGCTATCATCAAGATTATTGTTGCCATGTGTTCCCTTAACACAGGCCCCTCATGGTGGTTTAACTGGAATTTTGGGTATGTTGCCCAATTCCCATGTGCGTCGCCTACCTACAAGTCCATGTGTAGAATTGCCTGCAGCTGATTTATCTGTACCATGTCATCCGACTCCATGTACAGCACATGAAATGTGGCCGCATTATGGCTTCAAGAACATGACCTGCGTTAAAAAAAGCTGCCTACGCCCGCTGTCACTTAACTACGTACCAGACTCGTGTTCTATATTGTTGGTGATGGTGTTCCCTGGGCTCCGTAGAGGATTTGGATAGACAGTTTGTCAAAGTTCAGAGAATAGTTCACGGGATTTGTGTGCACATTTCTCGCTGTGCACATGTGCTCTTCACGTGTGATATCCTATCCGAGGTCCTGTCATCTAATTATGATGCGGCAGAGCAGAAGCCCTTTGAATTCTCTGTTGACATAGCATGTTTGTGGACCTGGCAGGAGGGCGTGGATCACTTCAAAAAGCATCTGATCCAGAGAGCGGGGGGCTCAGGGCAGACGGAAGCTGCTACCAAGGGTGGATATTACCTGCCATGGGTTTATTGTTGGATGTGGTGTGGCCATGGCGAAATCTTGTGCGCTAGCTTCTGAGGCCATTGTCAAAAAGCAGGAGGAGGCCGCCATGTTCCGTCTACGGCTGCGTCTCTCCTTCAGCGTGCCGCACATGCAGACATGATCCTTCGCAAAAGATCACCAAGATAGAACGATCAACGACTCCTTGAAGAATGCCCACGTTGAATCCCCAAAGATCCCCTTTCATACTTCATGCGTTCGGTAGACAGGCGCATGCCTGAGTTTGTAAGAACTCCAGCGATGGATATCTTCAGAGAAACACCAGCAGAGGGACTCCCCAACCCTGCATCCCCAGCCCCGAAGCCCCAACCTTCATTTCCCTGAAGGCCGAGGAAGCGAAAAAAGCGCCTCCAGCAGAAGTGGCCGAAGAGGTCCTTTCTATGGGGTAGGATATAAGAGTTTACGTTGTCTCGTCAAACGGGAGCCTCTTGCGAGACCAGTGGGAGGCTTCCATGAGCATTTCACCTGCCTAGCGAGCCCGAAGTGTCTCGGTAAACGCGATATCCTCCATGCGCACGCGCACGATCAGTTAGACTTGCTCCACACAGCTCAGTCGATTCGTCTGCACGCAGTCCTAGGCACAGGTTGTAATGTGAGCGGTCAAAGATTCTGTAAGACCACAAGCCATGGCAAATCTGACAAATACCAGCATGATGGCATTCAGGAGGCTTTTCAGTCTTCATCTGAAGCGTGTGTACAACATTTTGTACCAACGGTCAGGCTGCTCTTCAACCAGCCTTGCGCATCTCATTTGTTGAAGTTTCGGATCTTCAGTAGGCTGCGGCAAGAGTAATTTCACTCAAACTCATTTTTGTTGGCAGCTGTTCATTTCGCATATCCATCAAATTATATATGGGCACCGCACGTACATGGATAGCCCCCCAATAGACTAGGACGCCCCTCATCATAAGGGCCCCCACTTCACAAGCAGGATTTTTGAGCGGCCCCATGCTGAAGCTTCGTGGCTTAGTCTTACTGTAGCCAAATCAGAAGGCCTTGTTGACTTGAGAGGACATGGAGCCCGTGTCGCTCGTGGAGGTGTCAGCCTCAGCTCAGTTTCCAGTGGCTGATGTGAGCCAGAATCTCAACTCCTTAAGGGGGACTATAAAAGGGATTAGGGGACTACTGTAGGGTAATGGAGGGTATTGAGGAGGATACAAGGCGTTTAGATTATGGTTATGGTTCATGTAGGACAAGGGCCTTTAGTTTCTTCAAGATATTTGTGGGCGGGCTCCCTTGCGCAAAATGTCCACACGCTAGCTCTGGTTTGGCTTGCCAATCACCAACTACGTTCTGTCGTCAGCAGAAAAGCCTGTACGGGCCTGTGGTTTCTTGTAGGGATCATGCTTCTGCAGGGTTTGGGGATGCTGCCCCAATACAGTAATGGAGATTCAACTGGAACAGACCGAACAGACCATCGAAATAACATGGAAGCTGAAGTTTTCTAGGATTACATGTAGATTCATAGGTTTATAGGCATTCTTGAGGGATTGCTTAAAGCCTTTAGGGATTCAACCTTTCCCAGGCCATGTACAGCATGACGCCGGAGGAGCGGATGGGGCCTGGAGGCCTTGATCCCATAGAGGCCAGGTTTGCCGAACTGCTATAATGCAGAATCAGGTAGATTATGGTATTATTCATTCTAAAGAGTCTTTTGTCAGATGGCACTACAATATCTGGCCTACATTATACTGTAAAGAGTTCCAGGCATGTCCAGTGTTCAATTTCTGAGCTATGGCACATGTAGTGCAGTTTTTGGAAGGTAGCAGTATATGAGATGATGTTCACTCTTTTCGTCCCGCCCAGCGCTTGCCAGGTCTTCGAAAGCCTGCCAGAAACTTTGCAGGAGTGCTTCAAGACCGGAGATGTGGAGATGCTCAAGCAGGCCCTGCTGTCAGGGACTGGACTGTTTCCCTTGCTGCTGTTCTGATTACGATGCCCGCTGGGAAGCATAAGTAGCTCCCTAGCAGGCCCTAGCAAACGGCGGCAAAATGATCACTATAAGTGCTGCTGCTGCTGCTGCTGCTGCTGCTGCTTCTATGAATATTTCCTCTTCTACCATTCGTACTCAAGGTGTTGCCACTCGAACTAGCAGTCTGCTTTGCGTAAGAGTATTGGTGCTGGTGATGAGGCATCCACAAACGGCCAGCAGCAAGTCCAGCACAGGTGGCACAGAACATGGAGCCCAAGGACTTCGAGCACCATTTTCAGCGCTGCATTGATGCAGGCAGGCCTTTGATTCAGATGATTGTAAAAGTAGCCAAGGCCTACTGTCCTGAGAGTATACGTTGATACATAAGCTGGCCAGCCTACTGGAAGAAGCCAGACCCCTTGATGCAACAACGAGAGCCCCCGGAGTTATCCCTATTATTCTCTTGGTGGAATGATGTGATCACTCAGAGGCTTCATTTCTAGGATCCTTTAGGGCCCAGCCTGACAGGTCTGTGGAGCCGAGGGTGAGATTCCGCTGCAGGAGATGCACTCACGGGGTACAGTCCAATGCATCTCCCTTTGCAAGTGTAGGCTTGCGCTAAGACGAGATTACCAAGACTCATCTGGACAATGGGGTGATCTGTGCATGATATTATACTGCCCCGTCCGAGGACTACTAGAACGACTTTGTGCGATGCACATGTAAGACAGCATATAGCATACTTTCCGCTTGTCATTCTGATAAGGTATATATATATGTATTTATGCCTACCACCACATGCAACGCTACCCTACGTTGGTGCGTGTGCAAGCCTGGACCAACTCATTACGTGTCACTCTTTGAAGATCATAGATGATGCTGGAGGGCCCGTGCCCATGGTGCGAGAGTCGGCTAGCGCTTTCTCAATCAAATCAGAAACCCTGCATGCCATTGAAAAGAGAGCCCAACATATGGCCAAGCGAGGGTCGGATTCAGAAGTTCTTTCTTCGGCTTTCCATGATCTCTGCAGTCTTAATAGCTTGCGGCTTCTCCCTTTTGCTCGCCTTGGCTTCAGCTTGAGCCAGGCCATCGACACTTAGCTTGGCTTCACCTATCCAATCCACTCATGGACACCATCTAAACTTGATCATCGTTGGTCTGAGCTATTTTGAGACACAAGAAATTCCTAAGCGAAGCCAGAGCAGAAGGGTTCCCATTCTTTTGGCAAGATCTGAAAGGAGCCTATGAATCGCTGTTTGTGTAGTTATTCAATACTCGAATAGTACTCGTATCTGATGTAACGGAGTTTCAATCAAGACTATTGATACTAAATGTTCTTAAAGCTCTCCCAACCGATTTGCAGGGATGCGTTCCCTCCTTCCCTTCGCAGCAGTTGTCGACGATCCTAAAACCTCTGCAATGACTTCAACGACTGCGCCTTCTGCGTGCGCCACATGCGCATCGATTGCCGAACCAGTGGCGTGCCTCAGGGTATGTGTCAACTTTGGATTTCCTAAAGTCGAAGGCTTGCTTCTGTCTAAAGCCTTTTGGCATGACCACGGTAGTCTCCTGGAAACAAAGCCGTTGGATAAGGATGACAGCAGCGGTGTTTCCCCACAAAGCTGACATGACTGATAAAAGCTTGAGTCCATTCTGATTTTCTTTGATGACAGTATGCTCACGTGGAGGGAATCTGAAATTGTGGGTCTGAGCGATGGTTTGTGCTCCAAGGTCGGAATGGAGACTTGGAACGGAGCTCTGGTAGTGGTGTGCCCCACCCAAACAGCGTTCTGGCAACATGTGGCCTTGCTGCAGGAAGCGGATCCTCATTTCCCATAGCAATCACTGTATCAGCTTGAGAGGTGCGATCTTGCAACAAGCTTTCTGAGGCTCAAAGCTGCGAAAGTGGCAGCAGGCGCTGGTTTGCCTGGAGGACACCCCTGGCCTTAAGTGAACGTAGGCGTGGGAGTCTTTTGCTGCGTGACAGACCGTCGGCTTGCATGCTGCATTGGGTGCAAGTGTGAGATCCACATGGATGTGACTCTACTCATCTGCAGGAGATGCCATGCAGGGACAGCTTCAGCAGCCCGGCCGAAGCGTCGCAAAGCACCAGCATAGGTTTTTGAGTATCGCTCCAGCATGCGAGCCAAGACCAAGCCTACCAAAGATTCGGGCTCTCCCAAGTCTTAAGGCTACAATGCTGCCACAGCTGCATGCGCATCCTCAAGCAGGTGGCCTCCTGCCAGCATGATAGCAGAACTTCAAGGTGCCGGTGCAGACCATGAGCATGTGAGATTTGCCAAGAAATTGCACCAATTTGACGTGAAGTAGAATCAGCAGAGCCAGCAGGAAGCGCTTGCTTACAGTAGCATGGAATAGGCGACTCGAACTGAACCAAGGTCCCTGGCCATCTGGCTGTTTGGGGCCGCAACCGCTGCAGGCATGTTACCAGATACAGCCGCTGGACTTGAATTCTCCGGGCCAGACCTTGTTTGGAATTCCATAGACTCTGGGAGACGGCAGCGTTCTGTGTCACTGTGAGATGCGCTTCAAGCATGAAGGTTGAAGGCTGAAATTCACTGAAGTCTGGCACCTGAGGTCAGCCTGAACGTGGTGGTGAAGGCACATTTCCATGTGCAACATCATTGATCAATCTGTAGCTCCTTGCACCATAAAAGCCTTTGGGCAGTAAGCCGACCGTCTCCTGCTCGTCTTCGATGGCTGTGGTAGGGATAGACAACGGAGCTGCAGGGTTGCCCACAAATTCGAAGATTCTTCAGAATTGCCACTTGCCTGCTATGCCCGTGAACCTGAAAATGGGCAGGCCTGCAGTGCACACCGGTGGCCTTCCGCCCTTGGACTGCTTCAGGCCAGTGGGAGCTCGCTGCAGTTGCACTCTGTTGCCTCATAAGCTTTCCAGCATGTGGTAGTTAAAAAATCAGGCTTTGTATGATGTGGCCGGATCTTATGTTGTTCACCAGGCGTCAGATGCGGCAAAGATCCGCAGTGACGCCATCACCTACACCTTGGCTGTGCAGGCCTACCCTTCCTGTGCTCCACGCAGCCTGGTAAACGAAGGACGCCCGGATTTAACACTCTCAGGCTGGGCCCTTCGATCCTCGTCGACAACTCGCATTGCTAGCTCTCGCCGCAGCGAGGCGAGTGGGTCTGGACCAGGCCAGGCCCTTTTCAAGTCCTCGGTTGGCGATCGCTTGGTGATCGGTTGGAGGTGGCCATTGGTGCGGCTGTGGCATCAGCGCAAAGCCTCTTGGCTTTTTTCATCTTGATTTTCCAAACATTTTCTGGTGCGGGCTGGGAGGAGCACTTGGTAAATCTGTAGCAGCATCAGAGGTCATTGGCGCTGGGCTTCGATAATTCTCAGTGCCTCGTCAGGAATACTCATGATGCATGCAAGGATATGCCACTGACTAAAGGTTGAGCTCGCTTGCGGCAGGCGCATCCGATTCCATGGGATTTGCTGCAGGGACGTCGGCCTTCAATGCAGCAACCTAGCAGCACGGTGAGGAGGATTCATACCACGGCATAGCGCTACTATTGTTATTACTACTATTACTACTACTATTATTAGTATGGTATTATTACTACTATTACTAATATTTGAGACTCAGGCTGTGTCAGCGGCGCCGCCCTGGGCCTGGCATCAAGCTTTGCATCTGCTGCGCAGCGCAGCTAGGCCCGTGAGGATGGAGCATGACAGTCTTGGCCAGATGAGTAACAATCTAAACTCCTTAAAGGGAGGTTATACAGGGGATTATATTGGAGACTATCAGATGCTCTGCAAACGAGCTTATGCAAGTGGTTTGTGTGAACGCGACGGCATCAATGTGTGCTCTAACTTTGTGTTTCATTGTTGTGATTTTCAGTTCAAAGTTGAATTACTTTATACATTGTGATGTAGACATGGTGTATCTTTGACATGAGAAAAAGGATTGACAGTTAATACTGTATGTGTTATCATATACACAAATGGTTATCAAATTAAGTGATGATGAATATAAGAAAGTTGAAATAAAAGAAACTGGTGAGCCGCTTTAACTGTGCATGTAAACTAGTCAGACGTTAAATGGACTGTAATTGTCATCTTAATTTTGCCACAGCTATACGGGATTAATTGGAATAGTAATATTTGGATTAATTCTAGATCTGCTTGTTGAAGCTATACAACAACCAACAATCAAAGCATTGGCAAACATGTTGCAAAAAGCTTCAACACGCATTTGTTCAAAGCGTTTTATTTTTGCGAATATGTAACCCTGCCAGAAACCCTGTGACCATCTCAGCAAATCGTAAGCATATGACTGATTAAATCTAGTGCATCTAATGGCATTTCAGGCATTTCATTCCAGGCCGAAAATGACAAATCAATTTGTCCACCGTATATTAATGTAGCCAAAACATTTGGAAAATTAACTCAATTAGCTGCTTTTGCATGTGTATTAACTTGTCTGATAGTATTGGAATCCAACAAATTATGCAAGGTTTAGTATTACGCAATGGAATCCGTGCATTTGATTTGCAAATATGAAACAAACAGAGGGTGTAGATATGTTAGTATAGCCGACTAATAAACCTATTCAGGCTGCACTTCCGCATCTGCATCAGGCGCGTTCGGAGGGACATCATCAGCTTCAACTCGGTGGCCAGTGCCATGTCCCTCGTATGCTGTGCTGCCTGCTGACCGAGTCGCACTATCCAACGCTGGCATGATTGCTCGTTCTGGCTAGAATAGTTCCAGAATCCAGGGAACAGTGGGTTTGGGGCTTCACCCGGCCGCCAAGGCTTTCGAAAGCCTGGGCCTCCGCCACAGCAGTGCTGGCGGATGCTGCAGACTCTGTAGTGCTGAAGGATGCGGGGAACTCTTTCTCGTTCTGTCGCACAAGTCATCAGACTTGTGGACCTGCAGTACATGATGCGCAGTGGACGCAGGACATTGTCAGCTTCGATGCGTTGCTGGGAGCTGCTGGCAACAGCCGCGTCCCTGGCCGCAAGAAGAGTTGCATAGTGAGGAACCTTGATTTGTTAACGCCGCAAGGCTGCATGTTGCTGGATGCTACCGTTTAGCTGAGAAGTGGCAAGGCTGCAGAGGCTTTTGATGCTGGTGCTCAGTTGCGTTGGTGGCTATTGTGAACATATATCATGCCCTGCAACAAATAGCTCTATCCACCGGCACCTGTGTGCGCAAGCCCAGAGATACAAAGTGTTTGTGGCATACCAAGGTGTGGGAACGAGCAGCCAGACACCAAGTCTGTACCTTGCATTCCTCTTTCCTGCATGGCTGGAGTATTGCTTGTATAGACCTGCGCATGTTTTTTTTTTCTTTTGTGAGGCCGGCCACCGTGCATGCCCAACAATCCCAACAGTTTGTAGCCATCTTGAAGCAGAAGAGCAACAGTCAAAATCACCAACTGCTAGATCATGTCTTGTGCCTTGGGCGGATATGACTTTTACGATCGGGCAGACACAACAATGATCATGATGAAGAGAAGCGCGCTGTTCGATAGGCGTCAAGTAGCTATTTCTTTGAAGA